GCTGAAGACAGAGTTGCTCAGTAACAGGAGCTTGCCTGGATGTGTGTAGTTGGTGCTCACTGATAATCTCCTTCTGTAGGAACGCAAAGGTTCATCTGTGACTGGAAAAGCCGATCTGTACCCGCCAGGACCCTCCGTGCTGCATATGTGGAGAATGGAAGTTGATGTATGCTTAACCCAAAATCTACAGTGAATATTTGAGTTAGCTATCTATCACTGTGAACAAATTGTCTCTAAAACTGTGGCTGTGAAAAATAACACACATCTTTCACAATTAGGACTACATGTACAGCTTGGCTGTAGACATCACACTGCCAGGCCCTCAACAGTCGCAACTCAGTCATTTCCAGCTGTGGTAGTGCAGGGTGAGTCTCACGTAAAGACAGACAGGACCTTTCTCTTTCTCCACCTCCTGAGTGGCTGGCTGAGACCATGCCCAGTTCCTCATCGTGTGAATATCCCCCACTTGGCAGTTGGGTTCAACATACAAGGCAAACAAGCAATAGAGAGAGCCTTAGCAAAACAGAGGTCACAGCCTCTGTAACTTAATCATAGATGAGACAGCTTCACTTTTCTACTGTTAAAACAAATCCATAGATCCGTGGTTCAAATGAGAATGTTCCCCATAGGCTCGTGTATTTTAATACTTGGTTGGTCCCCAGTTGGTGGCACTGTTTGGGGAGATCTGAGAGGTGTGGCGTTGCTGGAAGAGTTTTCTAAGGATAGGCTCTGAGAGTTTTAGACTCTGCTAGTTCTCTCTCTCTCTCTGCTTGGTGGTGCTTGTGTTTGAAGGCCTGAGCTCTCAGCTTCCTGTTGCAGCTGCCATGCCTGCTGCTTACTGCCATGCTCCCCTGCCATGCTCCCCTGCCATACTTACCCCTCTGGACCCATAAGCCCAGAAAGACCCTTCTTTTTTTAAATTGCTTTGGTCATGGTGTTTTATCACAGCAACAGAAAAGTAACTGATATAGGCAGTGACTACATAAAGACCTGAGTTCCAACAGGCAGGGAGCACTGTGTCTCTTCATCTCACAAAGAACTCCAGGTCCACCCTCACCGGAGCCTCCTTTCTTCCTGTCCAAGACATTGGTAAGACTGCTCTCGGTACAGGGAGTTCTGAATGGGTCCTGATGCAGTTGCTAAATGTCTTTCCCTTCAGCTCACTCTTACTGTGAAGACAAGCCATATATACAGGGCCAGGTTAGTTACAACTTTACTAAGTATTTTCACACATCTTCAGTGTGACTAAGTGTTACCCACTTCCTCGGTGGGTGTTACTCACCTGTGCAAGACACATCCAGCTATGGCAAAAATTGGAACCAATTAGAATGGATATGCAAATCTTCAAAACAAACAAAAACAATTTTTGTCCTGCACAAGATAACAGCTGTGCTTTTCAATCCCATCAACTTAGAAGAAACAAAGCGACTGAAAGCTGCTGTGAGATCTATTATCAACATCTTTAAAATAGCACAAAATACATCCACTGTCCCCCCTCCAACTGAACACAGTGCTTGGTGGATAACATTCTCCTGCTGTCTCTTCATAGCCCCTCAAGGGTCTCTGGTCCAGATTTGAGAATGTCCAGATTACAGCCTAGAGTAGGCCCAGATACACTGACAGCCACAGGAGCTCAGTGGGTGACAGAAAGGAAGCAAATAGGCAATACAAGAGCACCTCACACAGTGTTCTCCATCTTGATACACAACATTTTTGAGGACTACATTGAGCTTCTGCACACTCAGTGAAGAGGTGGGTGTGGCTCTCTAGAAACTCGGTGGCACAAGTGTGATGGTCAGGGGGCATGGCATCCTGGAGTCACAAAGAGTGGAGACCATGGCAGTCTAAGGACATTAGTTATATCTGAGTGGTGGGGGTGACTGAGCCCCTGTGTATGTAGCTAAATCAGTTAACTTCTCAAAAGAAGGGGATTTTTGAAGATTTGTGTGTATAATGACACCTTTGTAAGCTGACAGACATTATTTAGTAATAAGTCCCCCTTTCATGCCTTTGAGGTCTATGGTGGCTCTTGACTTGCCTATCTTTCTCAAGAGGTATTTGTTAAATTTACCAAATTGGTGGTATCTTATTTGTAAACAGATTTACTTGTGCAGTCATGACTCCCATCCTAGTGTCTGTTCCTCAAGGAAATACAAACTGCATTGGGAAACCCTTGATGACCATGAGAATAGGGACAGTCAAACTATGGTCACCCATGAAAAGGCACTGAGTGCCTCTGGCCAGCAGAAGGCTCAGCACCAGTGGTAGAGCATTCTCAGATCCAGGCTCTGGATGCTGTTGTTTTATTGTTTCTAAGACATGGTCTCACACATTGCTTAAACTGGCCTGATGTGGTCAGCTCCTTCAGAAACAGTAATCTGCCCAAAGGCTGTCTTGCCAGCCAGCATCCAATAATCAATCCCTAGACCCTGAGCTTCTGGAAAACGTCAGAAAGCACAAGGAAGCAAAGCCAGATTCGATCCTGCCCTTACAATTTCAAATTTGTCACGTTCTAAAATCCCTTTTACTGTTGTCACTTATGAACCCTGTAATGTTAAAGTCCCTCTTGCAGTCAGTACAGACAAGAAGAACTCATGTTTACTCGTTTTTACTTAATCAGACAAAATCGTTCCATCAGGTTTTGAGCTCATGAGAGCGCTGGTGTTTCCTACCTCCCACGAGAACCTTAAAGGTAGATAGATGGTAAAGTCTTCTTAAAATAAATAAAAAAAAATCAAACCACCCCCAGATCCAGGCCGCTGTCTGTGGGAATCCTGGTCATGAACCACTACTTGAAATATTCAGGTTCACAATCCTGCCAAAACCTTTGTGGGTTGCCAGATTTCAGTGGCTGCCTCACAAGTGGAACAAGCCATTTTCTTGAGCATCGAGGTGTCCCCCCAGCCTGGCCTCTCTGCCTACAAAGTGCCATTTTCATAAAGAGCTGTCATGCTCCATGTCCTTTGGCTTGTGATTTAGCTGCTCAGGGAAAGTGCTGGCTGCTGTTGCTCGCTCCGTGCTGGTGATGTGTGTTTTTTGTTTTATTAAATCTTTAAAATACTGGGCTTGTTTTTACGACCCCCATATTTTCTTTTGTTCTTCTCCATGACTGGTTAGATCACACTTCTGCTCCCTTAGTAAAAATATCAGTGCCTTTCTGAAGAACACTGTGGGCTCCAGAGTGGTTGTCTAATAAAGTAGACAAATGTGTGGAACTTGCTATCAGATGCATGGAGGCCTTGGTGTGGGTACATTGCAGTGGATAGTTTAGGGCCTACTGTGAGGTCCACAGGGACACATGTCTTTTGACTCTTACCAGATTTGCCTTGATAATGCTGACATCATTTGGCACAAATCTCAGAACTTTTTATGAAGTAAAGTTTACCAAATGGCTTTTATTTCCACTATGGACAGTGTGTATGTGTGTGTCTGTGTGTCTGTGTGTGAGTTTAAAGATTGCTAAAAATCAGTCTGTTAAGTGGAAGGCAGCTCTTGTTCAGGTATGAGCTTGGATGTTCAAGTCCTGGTGCTCACATCCAGTGCTCAGAGAACCTAATTCTTCTAACTCAAAGTTGGAGGAATAAGAGAGCATCCCCACCTACCCTAACATCTCACAAGACCCAGTTCACAAGAGTGTCCCTACACAGAGGAGACTCAAAAAGACTGAATTAACTTTGAATGCAACTGGGCTAACCCAGCCCATGACATCCAACTGAACTTGTTCCTGTGTTACAGTGTCTTTCAGCCCACTCTGTACTGTTAGTTTTGGCAAGTGTGCCACAGCAGATAATAAATCATGGTAGGAAAAGGCTTTTGGCCTGGCATGGTTCAGCCTGCTGTGATATTGGAATACAGAAAGCAGTTCTGTTTTTACACATCCTTTCACTAACCCAGCATTCATAATTTATGATTTCACTGTAAAATTCCTTGCAACGCTACACCAAAAGTAGTCTTGCCCTTTAATTAAGTACTCTTGGTAGAGAAAATGAGAAGTTGATGTGCAAACTATCTCTCTGTGCCCAGTGATTGATAGTGATTACATCTTTATGAACCCAGCCTAAAGGTCTCAACTTCCTGATGGGTGAAGTCGTCTGTAGGGTCACTTCCTGACTGGAATCAGTGGCTGCTAACAAAACCAAAGATAACTCAGAGGGCATAACTTTGGCATGTTGATTTTTTTTTAAGCCTCCATCTGCCTGTCCATACTTGGTCACAAGTCTCTATGACTGTCCCTTGTGTCTGTGGGAGCTTACAATCAGATTTCACACTATCTCCATGCATAGGTTGCGATGCAAAGAATGGAGTATTGGGTAGAGGTCTCTTCAAGGCATCCTAGTTTGACATGCAGATATTCTTCTTTTTAAGTTAGAAATAATGAATAACAGGAGACACTTCTGGCCACACTGGTCCTTGAATTAAACCTGATAGCCAGGGAGAACCTTAATCTGTCCATTAAGTTATTTTCCAAATGTTTTGAGACATTGTCCTGCTACACAGCCCAGATTGGCTTCAAGCTGATGATCTTCCTGCCACCACTCCTGAGTGCTGTGACAATAACTATGCACCATCCCTCTCAGTTGTTTGAACATTCTTTTCCTTCCTTTGTTAAAAGTAGGCAAGTTTAATTTTTAAAATAGTACCAGGAAATATTAGCAGGCCAGTCTCCCTAAGCCAGGTGTCCCCAGCCTGCCCCTGATTCTACTTTGTTGTATCCCTCCTCAGCTGAACAGTGATTAATTGCCTCAGCTCACACCCACAGCCCTTTATTGAAAGATGTTACAGGTGAGTCTAGATCTACTGGGCTCCTGGAAAGCAAACAGATCTGTCTGGTAGCAACAGTTGCATTAAGTGAACACATAAGTTTGTACTCAGCTGCCTACCATCATCACAATAACAACCAAAGCAGGCTAGTATAATTATACTCACTTAACTGTCTTTTCTCTATGCCTCCAAGATGTCTTCTTTCTGGACATGCATGACACTTTCTGATGTTTTTACAGGTTTGGACCAGGCTTGGTCATCTATTGGTACGGATTTATCCAGGAACTGGACTGCAACCGGGAAAGGGGCATCCTGCTCAAAGCCTGTTTCCCCACAGACATTGTCACCTTATGCCATAGCACAGCTTGACCCTGAAGATCCTGGAAGAGAAGCCGGAAGCAATGTTACTTTCCTGCAGTATAAACTTCTGGCAACATCTGCCCTGAACTTCAGCTGAACCCTGCATCTCTGGACAAACATATCAGGAGTTTCTGCTTTCCTTCATCCCTAGCTGATGTGAATAGCCAAGAACTCCGGACACAACCCACTCATTATCAGCATCTCTGTCTCTGACACAGTTAGTTTATAGATAGTCATACTCTTGCTTCCTTCCGAACGCTTTCTCCTTGTACACTGAACAGAAGGAAAGGTACAGGGCTGAACGGTGGGATTTTTCAATTCTCTCTGTTATCGAATCACTGCCTTATTTTTTCTTCTAAACCTCCATGCATATTCTCTCTCTCTCTTTCTCTCTCTCTTGTCTCTGCATGGATACACTCTGGTACTAAGTGTTGCATTAACATCAGGGAATAACCTACCACAAACCTAGAAAAGCTGGAGACAGGAAGTCTGTAAATATGTGTTCCTTCTCACCTGGGACTCAGCATGGCTGGACAGGGACGTTATCTGTCGAGCCTTATGGCCTCCTGACGTGTGGCATCCAGCCATACTGCAAAAATCCCTCTTGATGAGAATTCCTTGTTTTCATAAAGCTTATTTGAACACCAAACATTTCACATTGATCTCACCTTCAAGTATGAATTCTTTGTGTCTGGCAACCATGCTGCTTTGGTTTGGGACTGAGGCAGAGGACTGACATTCAGCCTCCCGGTCTACTGCCAGCCTCTACAATGTTGACCACTATTTTTATGAGATTTTTAAAAGTACATTCATACATACTTCTTTGTGTCTGCATTTCATACCAAATAATCATATAACACTCAAATAATTTAGACATTATAGTCAGCTTTGAATGAATTAAGTGTACCAGGAAAATCCTAGAGTGATTTTTAAATAAGCAAAATAAAAGACATTTTATATTTATTCATTTTAATTTATTCACTTTTATATCCTGCAGACTAGACTTCAGTCAGAAGCAAAACATCAATAAAATAATTATAAACCTATCTTTTGGGAAACTAAAAAGAAATCTGCAACCCCCTCCCCTCCCCACCAAAAAAAAAAGTACTTAGTAAAAACTATGTGTTCCAGTGCTTGTAAAATGTAGCTTTTAAAATGTTGAATAGATGGTTTTAGAAGTAAAAATAAGACTTTTAGAAACACCTGAAGTCATATACATTGATGGGTTCCTTTTGTTCCTGGTCCATGAAATACTTTGCCTGTTGCCAAGGGCCACAGTGCAGCAGGTCCAAGATAGGATGTTAAGCTCTTCTGGGAGACTGCAGTAAATCACAGGGGAGAAGGGAGAGTGGTAAGGAAGAATCAGGCATGTTTTGTGTATGAGACAGATTATTTGAGACCACTATTACATTGCCTTTATACATATGATTTAAAACAATATTAAAATCTGGTTTTATGACATGCCCTAAGCCCAGCGGTTAGGTTTTGTTTTTTGGTGGGGGGGGAGGGGGAGGGTTGCAGTAAATGACATGTATCTGCACAGATATTTAAAATCCTACTAAGCCCTCATCAAAGATACCTTGTTTTAACATTAGCCTAAGTTATGATGGACATGCACAAATAAATTTTAACAGCTCAAAGGGTGCTTGTGTTTTGTGTTTATTCTTCTACCTAGAGCCCTGACATAGGTTATGGTAACTCCAACAGAGACTCTACCTTGTATTTATGAGTGAAGCTTCCCAATTTGGCCCCTCAAAGCAAGAAAGAAGCCAACAGTAAATTACAAACTGTGGTAAGGTTATGAGTTACTCAAACACTAGTGTGACCCTTGTGTCTGCTGTGTTAGAATTAAAGATGTATGGACAAGGACGAGTTTTGCACCCAGGTGAGAAGCTTAAAACCTCTTTGTCATTTCTTTCATCTTAAAAATACTTATCTGGGGACTGGAGAGATGTTCGGCCTTAAGAGCATTCGCTGCTTTTTAAAAATACTAACCTGTGCAACATTCTTATATGTTGCTTGCTTGTTTACTTTTTTAGTGTAGGCACTCCAAACACTGGCCCCAGGACAGCAGCCATAGGATAACTTACTTTCATGGCTGTCATCATTAGAACATTAATGTTAAAACCAAATCTTTAATGTTTTGTGGACTATTTTGTACACTGTGCTGATGAACTGTGTCAAGTCAGGACGCAGGAACATGAGCAAAACATAATTCCAAATAGTGCCGTCTCTCCCAAAGAGACTTATCACACAACTGTACCCGCAAACATAGTGGACCCCTTTGAAGAGTCCAGAGGGACTGACTCAGAACAAAGCCGATCCAGCTGACAATCAAAAGTAGCCGTGTAGATGCCTCCCTTTATCCCTCTCTCCTACTTCCTAAAAAGCACAAGCAATAGAGATTCTTTCTTTTCCCTTCTCATGAGGTGTGTGTAAACAAACTTCACATGTGACAGGAGGTTCAGAGTTCTGAAGCCCACCTCTAGAAAAAAATATTAATTTTACGTGTGAATGTGTACCTGCTCATCACCTGCAAGGCTTGATGCCACTCTGGAAAAGATGATTATTGGTCTTTGGGGATTGTATTAACTCATGAGAGCCACCAGGGAGGAGACTGCTTAGAACCCTGATGAGGTAACCTAAATAGTCCCCTGGCTGGCTACACTAATTAACACACAGCACCAAAGTGAACAGTTAGTTCACTCAACTCTCCATGGGGAGCCCCACCCATTGTTTACTCTCTGCATTGGAACCAAGATTCCTGGTGTTTGCTCTTTTGGATCTGCTGCAGGCCTGGAGTCTCAGTAAATGCAATCTGTAGAGTGTTTTGTACTTCTTTCTTTCCTGCTTCTTTCTTCCTGGTCATTTTCCCTTTCTTGAGTTTCCTTCCACCTGGATATGCCTTTATGCCTTCCTATCCATCTCTTTTTTTTTTTTTGTAGACAGTGGTACCTGAAGCAAGATACATCTCCTTTAAATCCTTGTGAAGTAGGCACTGACTTAATCTCTTCAAATAACAATGAAATTCATGCACTTCACAAGCCAAAACACCAGAGTGCATGTTACCAGCACATGGAGGATCCTATTACATTAACTTAAATAATATTTTGTATTTCATATGAGATTTATGCTTTAGGTAAATGTTTAGGCAAAAGGAGCCAACAAGCCTGGACAGAGTGATGAATGTCATTAGTCCCTGCAATTGGAAGATGGACAGGCAGATATCTAGGAGTGCAAAACCAGAAAGTGCTTTACATAGCAATTTTCAGGCCAGCCAGGGTTACAGTGTGAGCCTGTCCCCCCCCCCAAAAAAAAAAGAGAGAGAGAGAGAGAGAAAGAAGAAGAAGAGAAATCTCAAAAGAAGCTAAGACATGGAAGTTTGGGGTTTTTTGTTTGTTTGTTTGTTTTGTTTTTACATATTGATCCCAGTTCCCTCTCCCTCCCATCCTCCCTTGCCTCCCCCCCAACATGGAAAATTTTATAGTGTGTTTTAGCCCCACGTGATCATGTTCAGCCGATCATAGTTGTGAATTAAAATAGTAAAAATTTCTGTCTGGCTTAGTGAGTCAGGCCACTGGATTATTGTGGGGCAGCTTGCCATTTCTGCTGTCTCTAAGAGGATACTGCTTCACAGAATAGCTATCTGATGACAAGAATGGGAGGAGACACACCCCCCCCCCTGGCACATTCTTGATTAGGGTTATGGAACAAAGTAAGGGGAAATTTACCAGGGAAACAATGGGAGTGTGCCCACCGTGGCACCACTGGGCGACAAGCACAAGCCACCCATCTCAACCTGAAGTGCTCTTGGGTTAAGGAAGGGTCATGCGTGACACAGTTGAGCCCGTCTAATCATCTTCCTGACCCTCCTACCGGTAGGAAACCCAATCCGAAGCTGTTTTATGAAGAGCATGCCTTATTCTAGAGGTTAAATGAGGAAGATGGGATTATGAATTAAATAATAACCAGAAGAGCCTGGGTTCCCCTTGTGTTTTGTGCTTTCCTGCTATTGTTTGGAATATGGCTGTGAGACAAAGAACCGCTTAGGTCAAGCACTATAAATTACAGTTTTCGTACAATAGTTATCCACTAAAATGATTTCAAAGCTTGATCAAAGTAATTCCAAAGAGCCTTTTAAAACTCTTCTACAATACATGAGGGGGGTGGCAGGAAATGCTCATTTGGTCCCTCGGTTTGTTTCAGTCAGTGTAGCCGAGTTCAAACTTGATGTCGTGCCTACTTTATATAAAACCCAAATCATTGATTAGGTGACTTGTGTTTGGTGCTTCTTGTATGAGGACAAAGTCTGGAGGATTTTTGTTTAGTTTGTTTTGTTTGCTTGTCTTTATAATCTAGTTAGTTACCTACAACAACTAAACATTTGGAGTCACCTGCAAGGAAAAAGTACATACATTTGAATTTTTTTTTACATGAGCATAGCTCAACTGTACTTACATCCCCAAAGTCTTTGATAAACCATATCTACTCCCTACACTTAGGGTGATGTCCGCAAGGCTTACTTTGATATTTCAATAAGGCAGCAGATATGTTTATTATTCTTTTTCCCCCCTCACTTGGGTTTCTTCTGAGCAGTGTTGTATCATAAGCAGGCATGATGAAAATCAGGCTAGTGGCGGCAAAGCAGAGAGCCCTAAGCTTAGCCACGCACGTATACAGTCAAAGTGGAAGGCAACCATGTCAGGTGCAACTGGTGACCCATGCTTTTGTAAAGGAAGGTCATTTTGAAATGCCAGCATGAAATATTACCATGTCAATTAAGTAATAACAGTTGAAGTTCAACATTTAATTGAGGGCCAAACATGAAGCCAGTGACCATTAACCTAAAGTGGTCATTAATTCTCCTAGGAACTGCTGTTGTTTAAAGGTATTTCTAGAATAACTTGCACTGATCTTTTGTGGGGGGAGGAAGCTTTGTGGGGTTTTTTTTGTTTTTTGGTTTTTTTTGTCATGTCCAACATAAGTTCCTTTGTAAGTAATTTAGTATGTCTGTGTAGACTTTCTGGGTTTTTTTCTTTTCTTTTTTATTAAAATTGTTTTTGGTAGGCATCAAAACCCAGTCAGAACTACCTCCTTACAGGAAACCATAGTTCTTTTTTGAGAATTGAAAAATGGACATGATTTGTGTGCTTAGTAAATATCTTAATAGTCACATTACTTGCTGTTAGTTTAATAAAAAATTTTCCAGTTAGATTATTATCTTCATGGGGACAGAAACCACACCTATTTTGTTGAGTTCTCTATGCTCCTGGTCCTATCAAAATTCCCAGTATGGAGAGCTGTTCAGTAAGTGTCACATGAAGAAATGGTTGCTACATTTATCTTAAATGCGTCCTCACTTTCATTACACAAATAATTGGAGCTATTTCTCTTTTTTTTTTTTCAGCTAAAACATAAACATAGTCCCAGGAATCAGAAAAGCAACATATAAGTGGATGTTAAAGAATTAATTACTTTAAACTCCTCAAAACTCTCAAATTTATGAAGAATATTT